AGTTTAGTAAGTCCTTTTTAAATAAGTCTAAGCCTTGGTGATGCCGTTGCCTTATTTCTTTAAACTTATAAAACTGTCTCTAATTTGTTCTGTAACAATTATTTTATTGTTAATTAAAGATTAATTTCAATACTGTAGTTACGTTATGTTTTACATTGAAAAAAAAATACGTGCGTAAGCTTACATTAATTTGTTGTTTATTACGATTAAGGATAGAAAAATAATAAGACCAATTAATGGGTCTGTTGTTATGTTCTGTATGTTATTAAGTAGTCTTACAGAAATTCTATGCCAATTGCCATTATCCTTCATAAATATCGCAATTAACAATGTTATTTATATCAGTACCCAGTTCTTAACGCAGAAAAAAGCCTCTATGATGGATATTGAAGAACCCGGAATAGTTATTATTTGCATAATCTTTATAAATTATAGTATTCAGTATCACAGTTATCAGTATTAAGTATCACAGAATAGACGCCGATTTTATAAAATATTTATTTATGTTTTTTTATATGAAAAGTTGGCTTTAACAACGTCAAATAATGGTCCATAAAAATACTACGAGCTTAATCGTGTATACAGTTTTAGATGGACTAACTAATCGAGGTATATCCGCGGGTGGAATAATCTGAGTAACATGAAATTTTCCACAGTTAATTTATCTTATTTCATTATAAAGCTATGGATAAAAAGCATGTTTGTATTTTTTCTATCAGGATTCAGTTTGAAAATGTTTATATACATTTGTAACATAACAAAATAACTATCTATGTAATTTAATTTTAACATTATACTATAACTCGTTGTATAGACAGACAAAGAAGTTTTACCACTTGGCAATATTAGTATAGATAGCATTAAAATTAGACAGCTTATAATTGAAGAGCCGCGCTCACTGGACCCCAAAGTTGGAAGTGGCTGACTCAATGTTCCCGTCTAAACTCGGGGAGAGAATTGTGAATAGGCTCTATCTGAGTTCGCACTTCGCAACAATTTAGGGATATTTGTAAAGTTTGACGGAAAATTGAAAACCGTATTTACTGTTTTAATAGTAGTTTTTGACTTTATAGGTATTTCAAGAAATGTAATGCTCATGTCGTATCAAATGTTATATCATTAAATAGAATATATGTTAAAGATGATAATTTAATGATGAATTTATAATTCAAATTCAAATATCTTTATTCAACATAGGAGCATTAAATTCACTTATTGATAGTGAAAATACTATCACCGGTTCGGAAAAGAAAGCCACTGTATTGAGAAGAACCGGCGAAAGAAACTCAGCGGGCTATTTTTTTTTTTCATTTTTTGACATACACGGTGTGACATGAATACATAATAAATACAATATAAAAACTCTGATTGAAAGAGCCAGGAGCGATCAATTCATTACCAGAGTGTGTTATCATTTAAATTGAAAGAAAGAAAGAGATTTATTTGACATAAAACAGACTGATGTACACAACAATCACTTAAAACAATAAAAATTAGACAAAAAAAAAACATGAACATAAAACTCCAATATGCATATTTTCCCTTTTCAATAAAGTACGTCCCGATTCATGCCAAAATGAAAAAATAATCATTAATATTATAATAGCCTTTAGCACAAAAACGTTCTTTTACTATATCTGGAATAATTGCTTTATCAAAAAATACTCCACCGAGTTAAAGTCATCAATTAAAATTTACTTGTCGTGTATGTTTCGACCATGGGTACTGATCCAACCAAGCTTTCCATTTCTATCGTTTCACTCACGACCACTTTTTTAATCTATGTTTATCTCGGCATTTTGTCATTTTCTTTTACGGCCGACGAAGGGCGAAGACTATGTGGGGAGTGCTCAGCTCTAGTTATCTCCGTCTATCTCATTAGGGTGGAACATGGGTGGTATTCATAACAAACCGCCAGACAAACTGTATTGAATACGTACATCATCGAGTACCTCGCTAGCGACCAGACAAGGTCCAATTAGCGACTCATGCGATCACTTGTTAGACGACCCAGCTTCGGTTAAGGTGTGCTCACAAGTCCGAAGCGAATGCTCACCAACGCGTAAAAATTCAAAATGTTAGATTGTATACCATTGCGGAATATCTCGATGACGCCAATGTGTTATTGAATACTGTTGATACACACGTAGGCTAAACTCACACTATTGTACCTGTACTGTATTTTATATTGTAAACTGATATTTTTGAAAAAGAGCGACTGTTGAGTTTCATGCCGGTCTCTTCTTAACAGAAACTGCTTTCCAAACCGGAAGTACCTTACGAACTTATATATATAATATATATATATATATATATATATATATATATCTATATATATATATATATAATATACCTGTAAAACTACAAAAAATAATTTTTATGTAAAATTCGACGTTTATAAGAGCGCGCAAGCGTCTATTTGAATAAAGATATTTTGAATTTGAATTTGAATAATATATTTATATACAATATTTACAGCTGTTTCATTTTGATGACACAGTGCAAACATCATTTTAAGATATAATAATTCCATAGTACATTAATTTATTCTATCTCGTAAGGCTTAGCCAGCGTTTGCAATGTAAACGCAGAAAAATATGTTTGTTACTCTCACATTACAAATCTTTAAATTTCTCGGCTTTTCTCCAATACAATATGCATGTATACTATAATAATAATAGATAAAAATTCCTCTTGAATCACTCTATCTATTGCTGAAAACTGCATTAAAATTCGTTGCGTAAATTAAAACATACAAGAAAGAAAAAGAAAAAGAAAAAGAGAAAGCGTACAAGAAAGCGTAAATTTTTTTATAATATGTACAACGATTAATTTAATTGAGCCTCTATTGAACGACAGAATACTACCACCGATTCACTAAACTGTTTTTTTTTTATAATCTTATCTTTCTTTATGTCATAAAGAAGCAAACTTCCCTCCTTCAACAGTGAAAACCACCGCCCATGAACATTGGCAACATGCGTGAGGTTGCCAATGCATGCCCCATCTTTAAATAAAGTGAGCTCCGGCTACCTCACTCGCCAGACGAAACGCAGAAGTGTAACACTTCTACTTTACGACGGTCTTCTGTGAGATCGTGGTACTTACTCGTACGGACCGGCCCATTCGTGCAACAGTAAATTAATAAATACAATACAAACATAAATATGCAAACAAACTTCTAAGAAATATGAATTAAATAAACAAGCAAATCTTGTATTCACAACAACAAATAAAATATCATTATGATATAAATATTGTTTAAAGTTAAATGTGGAGAGGTCTTTACGAAGACTACAGAGTGATTGAAGGGCACACTCAGTACCCCTTGGATGTTTCAATGTCAATATTTCCGAGAGAGGCTTCAGTTGTATCATGAAATTACATGAAAGTCAACGAATTAGAAATTAATGTCAGGATTTTCGTAAGCTGATAATAATATCAATATATTACAAAATCTTACAAGTTATAACATGAAATGTCGGTTTTATAATTGTAAATAAGAAGAGTGTTCAGAGGTGTTCATAGAATGACAAAAAATCCGCCAAGTGCGAATAGGACTCGCGCACTAAGGGTTCCGTACCATTATCTAAAAAAATCGTCAAAAAATCATGTCAGTTGTATGGGAGCCTTACTTGAATATTTTTTCATTCTGTGTTTTTATTGTTTTAGCGGCAACAGAAACACATCATCTCTGAAAATTTCAACTGTCTAACTATGACGGTTCATGAGATGAAGTCTGGTGACAGACGGACAGCCGGACAGACAGACATACAGCGGAGTCTTAGAAATAGGGTCCCGTTTTACCCTTTGGGTACGGAACCCTAAAAACGGAGAAATACTAACACGATGTATGGTTTTTGATGAGGTCAATGCCTACTGCATACATCTGTGTTATAATTATATCTAAATCTGTTTTGCCAGGCCCTAAATTTGAACGTTCGCCGACCAGACTTACTGCGGATGTGTAGGTAAAGCACAAGGTCTGACGAGAGTTACCCTAGGATCAAGGATATCCGTTTCCTCTACCAATTTATTTCAGTAACAAGTCTATGGGTTTATTGTATGTTTCAAAATTGAACGTTTGTCTCTACATCAAAATAGCATAGGATATGTAAATATTTTTGATGAGTTAACATATATCATGATAAGGGCAAGATTGGTTATCGTGAAGTAGATAGTGTTTTGGTGCGGGTAGTATCCAATAGCTTAATATCTATTAAAACTCTTGAACATCCCGGCGATGAAGACAAAAAAGCCGGCCAAGTGCGAGTCGGACTCGAACACGAAGGGTTCCGTATCGTTATCTATGAAAACGACATAAAAATCATGTCTGTTGTATGGGACCCCCACTTAAATATTTTTTATTCTGTTTTTTAGTATTTGTTGTTATAGCGGAAATATAAATACCTCACAATCACTTGGTAAATTTTCAACTGTCTGACTATCAAAGCTCATTAGATATAGCCTGGTGATAGCCGGAAAGACACACAGACAGATAGACAGCGAAGTCTTAGTAATAGGGTACCGTTTTACCCTTTGAATGCGGAACTCTAAAAAGATAGAAACATACATGTAGGTGTTTCTTTATTTACGTTAATTGTATGGATTGCTTTTCTATACTGAATCGGGTTTCACCGTTAAAAATACACAAAACAATATTTAACTACCCACGTGTAAGAACACCATACAAGGCACAAATATAAGACTATTTCTTTGAATATTCTATTTTTAATATATTATACTTAAAAGAAAATCGTATCACATTCCGACATCAATCAAGAGCGTAAGAAATGTTTCTTTTGAGTAATGATATTACAGGTGAAACGGTGTAGCAAACGAGAAGTGGAATAATCGAATCAATTTATATTTTTTCCTCGTCTAAACAACGTCTGAGTGAACTCACTAACCAGGGGGGGACGTAGGGGGGAGGAGGGGGGGGGGGGAGGGAGCAGACGTCAGATATCGATTATTTGAGAGGGAATACAGTATTCGTTCTAGACCTGAGCCCACGTCTTTCCTATCGGGTGATCTAGTTTCAATCGTGTCACATTGAAATAGGGCTCCCATTGCTTCGGCTTGTTTGAGAAATCACTCATGCCCGTCGCTGAAAGGCAAGTGCGGCTCGTCAAAAACATCCCTTATTATTGATGCGTATGGTCGGAAATTCCCCGCCAATAGACCGCCCGCAGTCAACACCGGGACGGTTCCAGGGGATGCAATTTGGATACGCGGATTTATTGTTCGGAGCTCCGCTAGTTATTTCGTAGAGCGATCTGATAGCGGATAAGTTAGTCGAGGTTGGCTTTAAGCACTTCCTTTAACGTAAGCAGATGTTACGGGAGATATACAGAATATTGAAAGAAGAGTTTATTTCGTCTAAAATGAGGGCCCTTTTGTTTTATTTAATTCAATGGGTCCGTTTCTAGATCTATTTTTTTTAATTTAATTTTTACGTTAATGTTTACTGTATTTATAATATTAAAATGTTTATAAAATATACTTTAATACTCAAACATGATAAATATTGGGACTGACGGAATGTTATATGTGATCATACACAAAATGAAAAACAATGTGAAAATATTGGCTAAAGTTCTGGCTCATTGTATTACACAGGTATTACTGTGTTTTTCTTTGTCGAATTTAATTTATCTCGAAGCCTTAAGCGAAGAACTTCTGACACAGATTTTTAACCGATTCTTATACATTTTTTAAATTTAGTAATAAAAATTACATAAATAAGTAGTAAAAAATTCAGGGCTTTATTTTTTACGCAAGGTAACTGATAAACATATTTTTAATGCTATAGATATATATACATCCAGACACTAGAAAAGCATTATGTTCATTACACAATGTGTTCCTAGTAGCGGATCGAACACACACCTTCGTTTGCAGAGACAGGTTCTCTATCCACTACGCCTATCAGGTTGTCTTCTGTATCGTTTGCAGGCCTTTGTTCGCACAATTTACATGCAAATAGAAATTGCATTACCTTATTTTGGGCCTACGAGGTCCGTTTGTACCTTTGCGACGGGAAAATTGCTTCTTATGTAGAAACAATTTGATAGGCGCTATATGTAAATTACATATCACTGTACTCAAAATGATGTGGTCGTTTTTAAATGGAGAAATAAAAATTACGTCTTTTGAAGATGTAATTAAATGATTAATTTTATATCTATATACGACTTCAGTAAAAATTCATAGATATATTGGAAATATAGGGTCATCGTACTTTTGATTAAATACGGTGACTTTTGGAAGGAAAAATTAACTTGATCCTTACGTGAAAATTAAACTTAATTTTAATTATAACTAGCGACCCACCCCCGCTTCTCACGGGAGCAAGGCTGAATGTTTGTTTTTGACATCGCATTAGAAATCTCTAAAATTATCAGTGTGTGTCTACTATATTATGCAAACTACACATAATTATAAACCTTCCTCTTGAATCACTCCATCTATTAAAGAAAACCGCATCAAAACCGTTGCGTAGTTTTAAAGATCTATGCATATATAGGGACGGACGGACACTGGGACGACTTTGTTTTATACTATGTAGTGATGATTCAATGATCAAATGATTTCAATAAATGACTCGTTGGTAAGCTATCTGCTTCGGCGTCCGATTGTGGGTTCGATTCTCACACGGGATAAGTATTTGTGTGACCCACAGATAATTGTTCTGGATCTGGGTGTTAGTTTCCCAAGAAGAGAACGTCAGGCAGGCGGCCAGTCGTAAAAAAACATAGACAAAACCACTTACAACATGATTTACATGCTGTGCCGACCCCACCTAGATGGGATAAGGGCAGAAGGATGATGATTTGGCGTGTTATATATTAAAATTGCATTCCACCGCTCTACAAAGGAGCTGTGTCAGCATATTCGTAGTCGCTAAGCGCATCAGATGGAAGATAGTGCGAAAACAGTCTTAAGACAGTCGTTACTTAGTCTCAATCCGGTCTTCATCCCGTTAATACATTTTCTATTTCTATTTTGTAATAAGCCAGTGTTAATAATAAAGTTCTTTAAAAAAAAGGACTTTCGTAATATCCCTTACAATAAATAGTATAAATATAATGGTAACAATATATATAACCACACGATTTCAATAAATAATTTCAAATAAAAAAAATATAAACAGTAAGGTTTTCCTTTAAACTAAGGAAGACGTGTAGTCTTCCTATCTGCGCCTACAATTGCTCTTAGTGATAAAGAATGCGGCACAGCTTTATTTACAAATGTTTAAAACACACCATCACCAGTATCACTTTCACTATCCGAGTTCAAACTACATTAATGTAGAAGAAAAAAGTCTCACCTCCACAAGACTCTACATAGAGTCCGCGCTCTATTTGCGACGTAAAACCGGAACATAAAATCCAACGTAAGAACACGCCGCCGTAAATCGGCCTAAGATCGGTCCCCACTCGCCATACCTCAATGGGGCGATTTGTCCGCAGATCCGCTGTCACCGCTCTCACGTCGAACAACAGAATAGAGCGTCGGCACAAATCACCTCGCATTTCCACGGCCCGTCGGGCGGCGTCCGCCCACGTGATTGCGTTGCTTTTCTCCATGCCTTCCGTAAACTCGAATACGCAGAGGCTTTACTCTTTTTTTCATAACTTTTGAACAGCAGAATTGCCAGAGTTTTCGACCGACTTTAAAAAAGCAGGAGGCTCTCAATTCGAATGTTTTTTTTTTACTTTTTTATTTTTTTTATGTTTTTACCTCAGAACTTTCGACTGAGTCAACCGATTTTGATGATTCTTTTTTTATTTGAAAGCTGGTGTTTTCCATGTTGTTCCATATCATTTTCATTGGTATTGGATCTTGGGCTCCGGAGATACTTAGGGAACTCCTGAATATCAATTATAAAATAAATAAAGAGCGAGATTTGAAGTCAGTTTTGTTTTTGGTTAGTAAAAAAATAACTTGTGGTCGTTTCAAAATCACATGCAAACTTATGGCAGTAACGAGAGGCGTCCGTTAATTATAGTTAAACGACTCCATGCACAATGCTTCCGTCCGTGTGATAGGCGAACGGTGAGCTCGAATAAGGTGGAAACTTGTCAGATTAGCGGACAAAGGCGCAAAACCGCAGAACGTTTTCGACTGGGGCAGGGGGAGGGATTAATTTTTTCAAAGGGAGCGAGCTTATATCGGCGCGGGGCAGCCGTCATAGGAACAATGGGCTCTTCGGTCCCTCGTCATCTTTTCAAACAATTCTAAATGGTGTGAAAAGCTTCGGAGTTGTAAAAAAATCGCTCGTCCTTTGAATCCTGTGTTTTTAATGACCTCGTTAAAGATTATACCTACCCACAAATAATTATAGATTACCAGCTACTGCTCGCGACTACGTCTACGTAGAATAGACTGAATGCGTAATATTCAGACAGAAAGACAGATATACATAAAATATGTATATAAATTATAGCCTATGTCTTATTCTGATGTATAAGCTATATGATTGTAAAGTTTCATTAAAATCCATTCAGTAAGTATTTGCGTGAAAAAGTAACAAACAACCATCCATACATACAAACTTTCGCCTTTATAATATTAGTAAGGATAGTAAGGATATTATCATGGTTCCTATGTCAACATTGGATTCGAAGATTCGAGTCCTAACTACTTGAGTTTCCTTATTCGGATTTATCAGAAATACTGCTAATTGCCTTTGGCCAGTGTAGCGCGATAGATTACTGTCACATTTGGGGCTTAAGAAGCTTGACTTCCTCTATCAACTCTGTTCAGGATAAAATTCAAATGATGGTAAAATTACGAACATATTAATTTCCTTGTAAAATTTCGACGTTTCATAAGAACGCGCAAGCGTCTATGTGAGTAAAGATATTTTATTATTATTATTGTTGTTCCCACCCCTCATTCCTATATTTATACTAAATATGAAAGTGTGTTAGTTGGTTTGTTCTTCGTTGGTAAAGCAATAGAACGCCTGTCCGTGCGTCCGTCCGTAATGATTTAGTATTTGTAATAAGCTCATGGTCCAGAGGGAGACACAGGCTAAGATAAATCGCGCAGTTCCAGTGAAATGAATTTGAATTATATTTCTAAAATGACCACGAGGAGAACAATACGTATATACATATATGGATGAAAAATTTAGGTCCTAGACAAACACACACAACGTTTTGATGCTGAAAAAGTGCACGGTTCCTTAGGAATGTATCTGGGGTACAATTCTGTAGTTGTTATATGTGCTACTCGTAAAATGGGCAAATTGACTTTAAGGATTTAAGTAACAAGTAAATTGTTTTATTAACGAAAAACAAAACCGACTTTAAATATCTCGCTCTGTATTCATTTTATAATTGATTTTCAGGTGTTTCCTTCGTATCTCCGGAGCCCAAGATCCAATATCAATGAAATTAATATGGGACCACAATTGACATGGGAAGCACCAGAATTCAAATAAAAAAAGAATCGTCAAAATCAGTTCACTCTCGGTCTAATCGGTGGTTATAAAGTCGGGGAAAACTACTGACAACAATAATAATAATAATACAGGAAGAGATAAGAAGAGTCTGGAAATTGGACAGAGTTTCTATAGTACCTTTAATCTTATCCACTACGGGCGTTATAACTTTGCATAACTCTCTTAAATTACTAGACCTGCCTAAACACACATACATAACTTTACAAAAAGCTGCCATACTTAACACGTGCCCCATCGTTCGAAAATTTCTTCAACTTAGCTCTGATAACGAATATTCATCCCCACAATTTACGTTACCAACGACCCAAATTTAAGTTAACACTTGATTAAAGCCCGTGCTAACTTAATATTACCAGGTCATACCTGAGAGAAATAAATTAACCACATAATAATAATAATAAATAATAATAATACATATTATTTATCTCCAAACCCAACCAGACGAGAATACAAATAAATATCCCCATAATAATACATATATCTATATGTTTATTTTTTATCTATAAACCCAACCAGACGAGAAAACAAAGAAATATCTCCAAAATAATAATAACAATAATGAGTTAGTAGTTCACGTAACCATAAACAAGTGAAAAACATGTAATCATGAGAAGCCCTGTAGCCTGTGATAGTTTACAACTGTGTTACAGACTACAGTGTCTTCCCCTCATAGTTCACGAAGGAACGGTTATAACTTTATGAAGTTTATATAGAATAAATGGCTAATTAACCTGAAATTCAATACAAAAATTCTATGTCTGACACCCAGCCCAGCATAATGCTGAGCTGCTGACTTAATTTACCGGTGTTAGAGCGCACAATTTTTTTTTTATGTGAAAAGTTGCCAAACGAGCAGACGGTTCACCTGATGGTAAGTGAATACCGCCACCCATAGACATCTGCTACACCCGAGGGTTACAGATGCGTTGACAACCTTCTGAAAATTGGGCTCCGGCTACCTCACTCACCAGACGAAACGCGAAAGTATTTGTAATACTTCCACTTTACGCTGGTCTTCTGTGAGGTCGTGGTACTTACCAGGACGGGCCTGCTCATTCGTGCAACAGCCCACGCTGAAGCGTGGCCCTACCACAATTAGTTCTTTTAAAGTAAAATTAAATTAATTTAATTTTGGTTTTTACGTTACAGCGTAATTTTAAATTTAAATTTGTATTGCTATTGTCATACTGTACTCTACTACTACTCTTTCTTCCTTTTGCCCTTATCCTACACTGTAGTATGTATTACTATGATATATTTTTATTACTTTTTTTAATACTTAGATTCTAACTCGCGATCATGGATCATAAGTCTGACTTCGTAATGACTTGGCCGTCATTGTAACTTGTTTCATATAACCAAAGTTATTATTTGAATGAAACTTAATTCTTAATATCTATAATGTAATGAATGAGTAACGTAACCACTGTCAGAAATTAAATAGTGTTCAGCACTTGAGTCGATGGACGTGAGAGCGTATTATTATTTTGTTTAACTAACGCGTTTACTTACAGCACATCAAAGGCGTGTCACAAGGTTTATACCTATCAACGGTTTTCAAACCAAGACTGCAAAGTCGAGAACAAATGTTGCATATGCAGCTAATTTTCTTTCAGTACTGTAATGTTTTAGTCTTTAATGATATGCTTAGTATGCAATGTACCAATTACATTAGAATCAATATAAACAATGCGTTCAATAACTTTTTAAATGTAAGAAGTATTGATTACAATACATCGTTTAATGTGCTCATTTTTATTTTACCGATCTAAAATGTATGTGCATATTCGTCAGCTGTACTGGACGATTATTATAACTTATTATGGTAACTTTTGGTCAGGACACTGTGTTAGACTATTATTTCCTTTTTTTATGGTTAATTACCTGTTATAATTATCAGTAGCGTGTCTTAAACTGGCACCCTAGAAAGAATACACCCTACTGTACTTTTTGGTAACGTGCTAAATTTTGAACAGTGTTTTACAAGAGTTATGGAACTTATTAATTATCTGTAACTTAATAAGAACTTCTGCTGTTGCATTCATAACTTGTTAGCTAGCTTGGCAGCTAAAACCACCGTAACTCATTTTCAACCACAAAAACGCTGGATGCCTAATTTCAAGCGTTACTTGAGAAGATTATTTTTATTGTATTCTTAAAACTGTTTGGATTGTGGATAAATTCAAAATACTATCATCATCTCTTCGCTGGCCACCAGCGTACGCATTTAACGAAGTCTTCTGTGGCGACAGAATACTCTGTAGTTGCAGCTGTTTTAAAGATGGTTGGGACGGATCAATACCTCTAGTGATCTTCGAATAAAATACATTACATTTTGTTATATTGTGCTAAAATTAAATAGGGAAAAAACTTTCGAGGACATTTATATTAAAACGGGACGCGTGATGGAAACAATAAGAAATATGATCAGGAAAACATCCGAAAGCAGTTTCCCGCGCAAATATTGAAAGACACTTCTCGTCAATAGATGGTGTTAGGCGATTGGGCACGCGCTTTCCCCGTATTCGGTGATTTGATTTAAGACTATGCCCGGTTAAGTTATGTATTCTGAAAAGTGACAGAAAACTTCGTACGCTCTCTTTGTTTTGGCGATTTATAGAGTTCTCCGTGCGATTTATAAAGATTATTCTTGATCAAATATTGAGTGTATTAGTCCTTATTTATAGTACCTGGAGGACCGAGCTTTGCTTGGTTTGTTTTTTTGTTGGTAAATCGTGTATTTTGGAAATTACATTTTGATACAAATTACTACTGAGTAATGAAATATGCATAATATTTTTCGATCTTACCGACGTAATAATAAGAAAATATGAAATGGTGTTTTTCACAAAAGAAAGAACTTTAAAAAAAAGGGAAAAAATAACAAAGCGCCAAAAAATAAAAAAAAGAAAGCAATGATCTGGAATCGAAAAAAAAGTAAAAAAATAAGTGTGTAAATGATCGTGGAACGAGCCGTGGCCGTCTGTTTTAGGGCCGCCCGATTACCGACCGAGCTATTATAACATTTTTTTTTGCGGCGAAATTTACCGTCATATTCGAATGATATTTTTCATTCCCTGAAAACAGGGATAAAAGGACATTTTCTAAAAATGAAAC